ATTCCCCCTTTATTTACCCTCTTTTACCTCCTGCAACGCCCCCTTCCCTCTGGCAATCACCATACTGTTGTCTGAATCTATAAGTCTTTCTTTGTCTTCTTTGCTTAATCCCTTCACCCTTCTCATACCCTTTCTCTTAAAAAAAATCAGTGGAAAACATATCCTCAGGTGAGGATTAACAAAAAAGGTAGGTACTACAGGGGGATCACTGTAAATTATATAAATGTCTAACCATGCCCTGGCTGGTTTGGCTCAACGGTCCAGAGAGACCCGGGTTTGGTTCCCGCTAAGGGCATGTACCTTGGTTGTAGTCTGTCCCTGGCCCTGGTTGGGTCGTGCGGGAGGCAGCTACTTGATGTGTACCTTTCACGTCGAAGTTTCTCTCTCTCTCTGTCTCTCTCTCTCTCTGTCTCTTCCTTCCATTCTATCTGAACAAAAAATGAAAAAATGTCCTCAGGCAAGGATAAAATAAGTAAGTAAGTAAGTAAATAAATAAATAAATAAATAAATAATTGGGAAAAAAAAGTCTAACCACTAGGCTGTACATCTGAAACTAATATAAAATAATATTGAATGCCAACTGTAATGGAAAATAAAAATTAATTTAAAAATGAATGGATAAACAAAATGTGATATATATGTGTGTACACACACACACACACACACACACACACACAAAGTGGAATATCATGCTATAAGAAATAAGCTAATCACAAAATAATAAATACTGTATGATTCCTCTTATATGAAGTACATAGAGCAGTCAAGTTTACAAAGACAGAATAATGTGGTTGCCAAGGGCTGGACGGTGGGGGAATGAGAAGTCAGTGTTTAATGTGTACAGAGATTTCAGTTTTTCAAATTGAAAAAAAGTTCTGCGGATGCAAGGTAGTAATGGTTGTACATCAGTGTGAATGTACTTCATGCCACTGAAATGTATAATTAAAAATGGTTAAGGTGCCCAGCTGGTTTGACTCAGTGGTTGAGTGTAGACCCATGCACCAAGAGGTCGCCAGTTCGATTCCCGGTCAGGGCACATGCCCAGGTTGTGGGCCTGATCCCCATTGGGGGCATGCAGGAGGTGGTCGATCAATGTTCTCTCTCATCGATGTCTCTCTCCCTTTCCCTTCCTATCTCTCTCTCTATAAGCAGTAAAGAAAAAAAAATGGTTAAGGTGCCCTGGTTGGTTTGGCTCAGTGGCTAGAGCGTTGGCCTGTGGACCAAAGAGTCACAGGTTCGAGTCCGGTCAAGGGCACGTACTTCGGTTGCGGTTCAGTCCCCGGCCCTGGTTGGGGTTGTGTGGGAGGCAACCAGTCGATGTGGCTCTATCACATCAATATTTCTCTCTGTCTCTCTCTCTCCCTCCCTTCCTCCCACTCTATCTGATGATAATTAGAAAAGTATCCTCGGGTGAGGAATAATAAAAAAAAAATCAATGGAAAAAATATCCTTGGGTGAGGATTAACAAAAATGGTTAAGATGGTAAATTTTATGTGTATTTTACCACAAAAAAATATTTATCCTGAATTTGACCACTTCTCACCAACTTCACTGTTACTACCCTTAACCAAGGCTCTATCTACCTTGTTTCTTGATTCCTGTCATAGCCTTCCAACTTGTCTCTGCTTCTATTCTTCCTACTCTCTAGTCTAGCACTGTTCAAGAGAAATATCATGAGAGCCCATATGTAATTTTATTTTATTTTTTAAGAGAGAGTAATGGAGAGGGTGAGAGACAGAAACACTGATGAGAGAGAACATTGATTGGCTGCCTCCTACAGGCCCCGCACTGGGGATTGGGCGCACAACGTGGGCATGTGCCCTGACCAGGAATCAAACTGCCCCATATGTAATTAAAAATTTTCTAGTACCAACTTTAAAATATAATAAATTGGTGAGATTAATTTTAACAACATATTTTATTTAATCCAATATAGCGAAACTATTTTCATTTCAACATGAAATTAATATAAAAAATTAGAGATATTTTACATTCTCTTTTTCATACTAAATCTTCAACCTTTGGTGTGTAGTTTATGCTGTTTTTTTTTTTTTTTGAAGTGGTATCCTTACTTATTTTTATTTTCATTTATTAATTTATTTTTGTTACAGATATTTCTCCTTTTTATGTAGTTTATGCTTTTAGCACAACAGCCATGTGCCTCTAAACTACTGTCAACATGGAGGCCACAGTAATTCTATTAAAACATAAACAGCCCTGGCCAGTTTGGCTCAGTGGTTAGAGCATCGGCCTGTGGTCCAGAGAGACCCAGGTTCGGTTTCCGCTAAGGGCACGTGCCTTGGTTGCAGTTTGTCCCCGGTCCTGATTGGGTCGTGCGGGTGGCAACCACTCGATGTGTCCCTTTCACATCGATGTTTCTCTTTCTCTCCCCCTCCCACTCTATCTGAACAAAAAATGGAAAAATGTCCTCTGGTGAGGATAAAATAAATAAATAAATAAATAAATAAATAAACAAACAAACAAACAAACAAACAAACAAATAAATAAATGGGGGACACTTCTTTAAAAAAAAACACACACATACAAAAACCACAAACAGACTGTCTGCTTAGATGGGTGGCTACCATGACAGCTGTGCCTCTATCCCACACCCGGCAGGGACCCTTCTTGCCAAGGCTCATGGTAGGCACCACAGGGTTGCCTGAGCTTTTCTCCTGGCCCTGACCAAACTCCCCACCCCCAGCTCCCAAAGCACCCTCTCACCTCTGGGGCCTTATCCATGATGCTGGCTTTACTTACTGTGCTGCTGTCACCCGTCTGCTTAGATGGGTGGTTACTTTGACAGCTGTGCCTCTAACCTGTTCTCAACATGGCGCTCAGAGTAATTCTATTAAAACACAGACTGTGTCCCTCTTCTCAACAAAACTCCCCAACAGCTTCCCGTCTCACTCAGAGTCAAAGCTAAAGTGCTTATGAGGGACGGTATATGGGCTTTACATGCTCTTCCTGCCTCCTCTCTCATCTCAATCCTCCACCTGATATCTGCTAGTTTTAGTAGGCTGTGCCCAGCACAATCTGGCCTGTAGGCTGGCTTCTTCCCTTCTTTCAGTTTCCTCTCAAATGCCACTTGTTCAGAACCCCTACTGTCCCCTGGAACTCCTGGTCCCTTTATCCTGCTTTATTTTTATCCATGGCCCTTAGCACCACCTAACATACTGGATGTTTATCTGCTTACTGTCTCTTTCACTAGAATATAAGCCCTAAAAGGACATGAATTTTGTCTACTCTGTTCATTGCTCTATTTCTAGAATACCACCTGGTACCTATGGGGAATGAAATAAAAATGTGCTGGATGAATGAATGATGAGCTTGGAAGGGGCTATGGGTCCATGCTTACTCTGGCTGTCAGGCCCTATCATGCATGATTCTGGACCTCATGAAGGCAGCTCAAAATTTCTACTTGTGTCCCTTACTTTTTCTTGAAATCCCAGATCAAGCCCAACCTCCTCCAAGAAACCTTTCTTAACATCTCTAATGGACACTGCTTCTACCTGGTTCCCTTCCATTTATTGCTTATCTACTCAAAAACTTACTGAACATTGATTACAGGTGTGGAAAATACACCAGGTGGGGCTCTGGGTAGCTGGAGGACACATGTTGCCATTCAGCTCCAGTGCCACTCAGTGGGAATGTGGGCCCTGTAATGGCACGGCTGCTGATTTTTATGGACTCTTATACTCATGAAGTGTTTTCATAATTTCAGAATGACCAACAACACACATAGCTTGTCACACTAGGAAGCAAGGTAACGATCAAACATGACTAGGGTCATGTCAAAAGAACACAGGTGCCAACCTAAATAAGCTCCCTCTGTCACAGATGGACTGAGGATAATAACTGTCACGGACTCAAACAGTTGCTTAAATCTGCAAGTTTATATTTATACTAAAAAGTAAACATAAAAAAAGAATTAGTCACATTTGGAGAATGCTAGACAACCAGCTCATCAATTTAACAACTGGTCAAGAACAAGAAGGAATAAAACATTTATTTTCCCTTTCGTATATGAACTGTGCCTCAGGGTCATTAAATAATTGATGAGGGGAAGTTTCCTTTATGGGAATATTCCAGCTGACAAACAGAAGGAATGACGGAATTAGAGTGCTACCATCTTGCAGTCCTGATGAATGACTGGATCTAGACAACAGCACATGACAAGAAGACTGGGTGCCCCATGTGTATCTCTTGGTGAAAGTACCCATCACCTCAGTTCTGCCTATGAGTAGACCTGTCACCCAAACACAAACAACTGAACCTGAAATTGATCTGGATTTTACTATTCAACTACCGACTTATAGGAAATAGGAGAATGCAGTCAATAAAAACCACTTGGAGAAACTCTATAGCATAAATGATCCAATTTCATTAAAAAATATTAAGAGACAGAGAGAGAGAGCAGAAATCTATAGATAAAAAGGAGTTTAAAAGACATATCAACTGACTGTAATATATGACCTACATGTACTTCAATTCCAGTGATTAAATTGTAAAAAGTATATCTACATTTAGGGAAATGTGAATACAAGTATTTAATATTCAGGAACTCTTGTGAATTTTGTTGATGTAATAATGAGATTGCAGTTAAGTCTTTAAAAGGGGGTCTTTCCCTATACAAATCTCAGACTGAAATATTGATGGGAGAAGCACCAGGTAAATGAACCTAAGCTTCCAAGCTGAATAGGACTACACAGGTGGCTTGCAGTGCAGCACAAGTTCACAAGGGTGGCGGGTCCACCCAGATAAGGCTTCTTCAGCGCAGTGGGACTTGAGGCGGGCAGGAAATACTCAGGAGGACTGGGAGGTGTGATGGGATGCAGAGGCCTGTGATGTTGGGTAGCGCATGCGTGGCCAGACACCTAAGAACACCAGGGATGGGTCAGGCTCTCTACCCCATACCCAGCAGGAGCCCTTCCTGCCAAGCTCTATAGTAGGTACCACAGGGTTGCCTGAGTTCTTCTTCTGGCCCTGAGCCCCCTCACCTCTGAGGCTGGATCCACGACGCTGGCTTTCCTTCCTGTGCTGCTGTCACCCGTCTGCTTAGATGACATTTTCTGGAGGAAGTCAGAAATCCTCTGAACCAAGAAATCACGGTCTCTAAGGTTGGCAAATAGGAAGGTCATTTTGTTCTTGGTGCTAATAGACAGAGGACTGGGCAGAACACTGGAGCTGTCGGCTTTTTCAACAATGGTCACCTGAGGAGGCAAAAACATTGGGTGTTTATGTCTTGTGATGTAAATTGGAAAGGTTCTGTGACCTTGAGAGCACAGTGGTCTCAGGCAGCCCTCTTTTGGGAGGGTACGGTGAGTGCACGCGGGCACTTGGGCCCACTACATTCATGTTCTGATTCTGTTGCTTGCTGCTACGAGGAAGTTATATGCATGTCTAAGTCTCGTTTTACCACCTATCAATGGGGGTGAGCACATCAGCCCTGCTGGTCTGTCGTGAGGAGTGGGTCTACTCATTACCTTTGTTAGTTTCCCCAAATGGTCAGTTCTTCCCCTTTCTGAAGCCTGGTGAACAGCCTGCCAGTATGCCATCCTAAGTATTGATTCCTAAAATACTTGCTGACAGGTGTGTCTGGGGCCCAGTTCTGAACCCAAGAAATGTGGACAGAACAGCATAGGCATGGAGAGTGTAGGATAGGCTTTCTGTAGATCCCACAACCTGGGGTAGGGACAGACAATGACCACGCAGGCTAAACACAGTCACCAGGGGTGGTGGTGGTAACAGGGCCAACTGGGAGGACACTGGGCTGCTTTGCACTAAAGTCTCTTCTGGGAACGTAGCAGCTGAGTTGACACCTGGTGCAGCCAAGTAAGGAGCTGGGGCAGAGGCTTAGTAACCACACTGAGGAGGTGCCAGAATTGCCTGATGGACAAGGAAAAGACGGAGAAGCTGGGGCCAGGTAAGCAGGGGTGGACAAGGTGTGTGTGTGTGTGCATGCATATATGTGAATGTGTAAGTGTGTATATACATGTATGGTGTGTGTGACTGTATGCGTATGCATATATATGCACCTGCATATGAGTGTGTGCATATTTGTGAGCTGTTTATGTATTTATGTGTGCATGTGCATGAGTGTGTACATGCATGTGAGTAGTATTTATACATGAGTGCATGTGTGTGCGTGTGTATGTCTGCAGGCTTGTGAACTGATATCTGAGAAGGGGTGGAGAGCTCACAGGCCCAGCAGAAGATGCTGGAGGATTACATACAGGGTGCTGCCATGCTCTGAGTGACATGTATTGGCTGCTGTGCAAGAATGGGTCCTAAAGGGATTAGGTGTGTGCGGACATTCCTTAAGTGACCCAAGCAGACACTGGTGTCCTAGGTGGTGGCCGTGGAGAAGAAGGGATGTGCTATGGGTCAAGATGCAGGAATAAGGCAAGGTCAGAATCAAGGGTGGCTCCTGTTTTTCACCTCAGAAGACAAAAGGAAGGGGTGACAATGCCTGAGGTGGGATGAGAAAAGCACGTTTGGGTGTGCAAATTCAAGAGCACAGCTGGCTCCCAGTGAGGAGCCTCCCTGGCTTGGATATTGAAGATTGGACAGTGCTGGGCCAGAGCCTCTATCCCGACCAACTACCGAGCCCATCCTAAGAGCGTGACAAGATGGGCTTGCTGCCCGACTTAGCCAGTACTTTCTTTTTTTTTTTTTTTTTTTTTTTTTTTAATCCTCACCTGAGGATATTTTTTTTTTTTCCATTTTTTGTACAGATAGAGTGGGAGGGAGAGAGAGGAAGGGAGAGAGAGAGAGAAACATCGATGTGAAGGGACACATCGAGTGGCTGCCACCCGCACGACCAACCAGGGCCGGGGACAAACTGCAACCGAGGTACGTGCCCTTAGCGGGAACCGAACCCGGGTCTCTCCGGACCGCAGGCCGACGCTCTAACCGCTGAGCCAAACTGGCCAGGGCTAGCCAGTACTTTCTACCATCAGAAACATAAGGAGGAATGGAATTGAGACCTAAGGAAACCCCTAAGCTGGCCTCCAGTTCTTGGGGCCATGTCGGTACAGCACCCAGGACAAACCTATGGGGCTGGTTATCAGAGACAATGGAGGGTCAAGGGCCACCTCTGAGCCACTCAGCCTGGAGTTGTGACTCTTTTAGTCCTTTATCTGACTTTCCTTGGGGAACTCAGGCAGCATGCTAGTCCATACCTCTTCATAGTTACACCTGTAACTCAAGGGCTTTGTACAAATGCCAGGAAGGTCTCATTGCTCTAGATTTTCAATAAAATCAAAATACTGTGATTTAGTTTATAATTAAAAAACCTCACTGTGTTTCAGCCAGTTTGCCCTGCTGGGCCAAGAAGAAAAGGAGGCCTTGAGATATGCCCTGACATTGGGGCCAGTGCCTTAGTGCCTTCTGTCTGGGCAGGGACCCTCTCCCTCACTGCCCACATTTCTCACTGCAGTAACAGGAAAAAAAGCCTCCACCTTTTACAAGTGACAGCTGACTTCCAATGATACTGCTAGAACCTGAGCCACAGCTAAGGCAGATGTCAGAGAGGAAAGTGAGGTAGCCTCCAGGAATGACATGGCAGGGTTGTTGCAGGGTCAGCATTCTTCAAGCCCAGCCAAAGCAGGGTTTTCCCAAAGTCCAAATGCAGGCCAAGAAGGCAGGACCAAGAGACATTCCCACCAAGGAGGCTTGAATCCTTCCTGAAGTTTCCATATGCACTAATGTGGGCTCTCCTGGCCAAAGCCCTACACCGTCTTCCCATGAGGTGAGCTGACCCCTGAGGATAAATCCTGTGCACCCACTCTTAAGAGATCTACACAGGGCAGGTGCTCAGGGAGGTGCTGACTCATCATATGCCCATCACTGAATGCTGAGGGGCCAACCAGGCAAGTGATGGCAAAGCCCAGGGTTGAGTGCTCACCTCCCGCAGGGGTATGATGAGGTGGCAGATGTCCTCCTCCTTGCTGGCAAAGCAGATATAGTTGCTGGAGATGAACATCTGGCCAGGAATGTGCAGCTTGTTGAACGGAGTCCACAGAGTGCAGCTTGTGTGCCCATCCAGGCGTTCGTCCCTGGGCAGCCGGAATCTGGCCCGGTAGTATTCATTCTTGGCTTGTGCATCTAGGTCTCTGGGGAAACCATGGTGGGGAGGGAGGGAAGGGAACAAGAATTGGGTTTTCACATTGGATTTGGGCTCTTTGGGGTTCTCTTGTGAGCAAGTTGGATCTCAGAGTTCAATAAAACATGCACCTTAAGTGGCCAAGTAAAATGTGGGACATTCATATGACCAGCAGAGGAGTGGTCAACAAAACATGTCCTTCAGACTTGATGGCTATGGGAGGATACCTGAAGGCTGATAGGATGTGACTCACTGTCTACCCAGAGGGTCCCTGTACCTACCCTGCTGCTTCTCACTAGGAAGACCCAGCCCCACCCAGAAGCCTGGACAAGGACCTCCTGATAGGCATGATGCTATTGCTTGATATAAAATGCACACTCACCTAGCCCATGGCTGTGCAAGGTGGGGGCCTGGTACCCTGCTCCTCACCCCTGCGGTGGCTTTTTCCTGGGGACTGCCAGCAGCCTAAGCAAGGCCTAGCAGACACACCCTCATGGACAGTGCCAGAGACTGCCATGTCCCGATCCTGCTAGTTTTCTTTCCAGAAGGTTCAAAAAGACACCCTGTAGCCCTGGCCGGTTTGGCTCAGCGGTTAGAGCATCAGCCCATGGACCAAAGAGTCCTGGGTTCAGTTCCCGCTAAGGGCACGTACGTCGGTTGCAGTTTATCCCCGCCCTGGTTGGGGTCGTGTAGGTGGCAACCACTCAATGTGTCTCTCTCACGTCGATGTTTCTCTCTCTCTCTCTCGCTCTATCTGAAGATAAATGCAAAAATGTTCTCGGGTGAGGATTAAAAAAAAAAAAAAAGACACCCTGTCACTTGTAAAGAGTGCCATCTTTTGACAGTATTCTAGTTCTGATGGCACACCCAATTCTGGGCCTAGGCCATACATCTGAGTACATGGGTGTGAACTGGCTATGGAACTCAGGGGCTCTCAGTCAGCCTTTTGGATTTATCGTGAAGCTACAACACAAGAGTGCAAACAGAAGTGCTCTGGAGGGGTTGACCACCAGTACTTGTCCCTTTGTCTACCAATTCCCACAGACAAGGTGGCGCGGACCTCAAACCTCCTTGGCTGCACTTCAGCCCCAGGCGCGGGCCCCATAGCTATAAGAATGCAGAAGGGATGAGGGGCTGCTGGTCAAGGGGTTCAGAGAAGAGCTGTCAATCACAATGAGATGGAGGAGGTGCACCCTGGGACCTTATCACTGAAGCCATCCAGAGTGGCCTCTGAGGGCACCCTGAGTTGGTGGGGAGGACAGACTTGCAGCCAGCTGCAGTCTTATACCCTGGCTCTACTGCTTACTTGCTCAGGAGCGCTAGACAAGTTACTCAACCCCTCTGTGCCTCAGCTTCCTGTCATGAGACTAAGGAGTGTGTGAGACCTCCCCATCACAGGGATGTGAGAAAGAATGTGCCTCTTAGGACAAACCCCTGTGTGAATCTCTTGGTGGCCATTCTGCAACTATACCTTTATCTGGCCCCCTTCCCAAGGGTCCTCCCACTCTGGGCAACGCACCGCTTCAGAGCAGAGATGTTCTTGTGTGGCCGGGCAGGCCTGGGCAGCACCTTGTCCTCCAGGAAGCCCTCGTTGTCCAGCAGCTGCCTCATGGCCAGGTTGGCCAGCTGCTCCATGAGCTTGAAGGTCTCACCAATGTTGAGGAACATGGAGAAGAAGAGCTCCTGGTCTCGGGTGTCCACGTGAATGCTCTCAGGGAAGAGCAGGGTGGCACTCTTCTCTAGTCGTGTGACATCCACCCACTGCACCACTAGGCTCACTGGACATCGGTGGGGACAAACACACCACCACAGGATCAAATGGGCTGGAGGGTTAGGCAGTGTGAGCTCCTGCCTCCCACCTGCACTGGGGGAAACTATACCCTGACCATGCCCACCATGCCTGAGCCTGGTTGTGCTGGGACAGAAACTCCACAAGAAGAGACAGGGCTTTTGGGGTCTCCTTGCATCCCAAGCCAATCTAGCACCGGCCCTGAGAAGAGACTGGGTGAACATTTGCCCCACGAATGGCTAGTGTGACAGGAATAAATGTGCGCAGGTGAGCTATCTAAGATTCTGGCTCCAAGAAGCCCCATCTAATGGGATTACACTGATGTGGGAACAAGTCACACATGGTATGACCGGCATAAAGAAGACACCTGCCCCTGCCTGACAAAGAGGTGCAAGGCTAGAAGAAGGGCCAGGGAGGATACACCAGGTATGTGCATGGTGGGAGAGGCCTTGGGCTCAGGAAAGGCAATACTGGGACAGCTGAAAGCCCTGGCGGCTCTTTCTAGGGGTAAGGTGGCAGCGGAGGGCACTGGCTACCTCTGGGGAGTCTGCCTTGCATCTTGAGGTCAGGGCTTTCCCCAGGGAGGGACCTGAAGCACCAAAGCATGGAGTAACCTAGAACTACTCAAAGACTATGTTTAAAACCGTATCAGTGGACATAGACATGATAGGAGCCCCAAGAGCCAGGTATGTGCCTGGTTCAAGTTAGGGCCTTCCTGTCATAGGCTGCTGAGGTGGCACTTGGTTTTGGGGAGACTCTGTTGGGTGTGTGGGAACAGAATATCTGGGGGCCGAGAGGAAGGAGACCCCTCAGGGACCTCAACAGTCTGGAAAGATGGTGAACTTTCTGGAGATGAGGTCAGGGAGTGAGGACTGAGGAGTTGAGGAAGATGAAACCAGTTGGGCAGCTGGGGAGATGCCAGGGTTGCCCACGCTCACCTTCCTTGCCTAGCAGGAAAGAGTAGAAGCACAGGTGATTGACGGTCAGGTAGAGCCAGCCCTGCCTGGGCACATGACCCTTCCAGTAGCTACAGGAGTAGTAGTTGACCAGCTTCTCCCCCTCAGGCATCCCAAACTGCTTCCGCATCTTTAGCTCGGCTTCCTTGAACTTCCCAGGGTCCTCATCTCCCTGGGGCTGCACGTTCTTGTTCTCTTCAGCGATGATACCCTGGAAGAGAACAAGGAGACTGGTTCCTGGAAAGCACAGGATTCCCACAGCCAAGACAGGCAAAGGCTGGAGCAGAAAGGCCCAAGGAATCAGGTGGTAGCATCCAGGATGCTGGCCTAAAGGTCACAAGCAGGGTTAGGCCCAGTCAGCTGCTCTGGCTATGTGTGGTCAGACTGATGCTGCCCATGTGACTGGGCAAGTTCTCTCAACTCCCTGAACTATTATGGCATGAAGCAGTGACTTTTTACATAAACATTTATTTTATGTAAAATTTCTAAAAAATATAATAGTAAAAAATGTACACAGTAGAAGAGCATATTTAATGAAAAGGGACTCTGACTCTTACTCCCACAGCTACTCTCCTGGTTGCCTTCCAGACATGCAAGCATTGATAATCCACCTTTAAGCAAGTATGTGTGGTTTTCTCTTCTCCTCATCCTTTATCCAAATGGCATCGTGCTATGACACTGTTCTGTGAAGTGCTTTTCTCATGGCAATGTCTTGGAGAAGTCCTGTATTTGATCCCCTTTCCCACCCCATATACCAGGGATTTTCTTGCCTCTTGCCCATGTCCACAGACCAGCCACAGGGTTCACCTGGCTCAGGACACATCTATGCTAATTGTATCCTGCCTTTACTGGGCTCAGAGTGCCCAGAGACATCACTCTGAGCACAAGGCCAGTTCCAAACCTCTTAGGGTAAAAGAGGCTCTTAGGGTACTCAGTTCAAAAGGTACCCAAAAGGTTTTTCCAGGATGATTACTCAATACACTAAGGTAATTCAAGGTCAATGATTGTGGCCCCAACTTGCTGCTTACACCAGGCTTCCTGTCTCTACAATCCATGGGCAGGGAGGACAGCCAGGAGCTGGGGAGAGGATCCAAAGGTGAGGTATGCTCTTTATCTCAGTACAGCCAGCACTGTGGTTGCTGTGACTTCCACATCTTTTCTCTCTCAAGCTGCCTCTGGTGTCGCCCTGAACCACTCCTGTAAGAACTGGCTCTACATCTGGGAAAAGGGTCTGGCAAAACTGTTTCCTCATTATTAAGGTTCTGCCTTTGTCTCTGCTGCCCTGGATTCCACACACTGAAAGCGCAAGGTGGGCTCTGGATAGACTGTGGGCCACCACTGGCTACCCTGCCTCTGGGGTCACTTTCCTGAGTCTTAGCCAGTAGCCACTGTCCCCACTCCCTCCAGCTGCACCTGGGCGACCCCCCAAGCAGGGAGTCAAGGGGCTGACATGGCCTTCTCTGCATTCTACACCAGCCTCCACTGTACTCCTAAGTAACCCTCCCCACCAATGGGAATGAGCCAGTCTGGCTCACAGGGCTGGGGTTTTGTTTATTGGCTGATACAGGTGGACTGTAAAAAAATCCCTAAGTAAACTTCAAATTCTTGATTCCATGTCTTTCATAGTTTTAGGCATGCTGAAGTTTCCTATTTCTTCCTGAGTCTTGGTTTAAGTTATATTTTATGGTAGGCCAAATAATGGCCCCAAAGATGTCCACATCCCCAACCCCCATAACCCAGGAAAATGTGACCTTATGGAGCAAAAGGGACTCTGTAGATGTGATTAAATAAGGATTCTGAGATGGGAAGATTATTCTGGATTATTTGGGTGAGCCCATTATAATCATGGTTCCTTTAAAGAGGCAAGAGGGTCAGGGTCACAGAAGGCATAAGACTGGGGGAGGGACTGAGTGATTGATTTGAAGATGACAATGCTGGCACTAAAGATGAAGAAAGGGGTCAAGAACCAAGGAACATAATTGGACCATAAAAACTGGAAAAGGCAAGGAAACAGATTGTCCCCTCAGAGCCTCCAGAAGGAGGAGAGCCCTGCTGACACCTTAATTTTAGCCCATGAGACCCATTTCAAAGTTTGTGTTCTTTTGTGACACTAAGCATGTAGAAACTTATTGAGGTAGCAATTGGAAACAAATACATATTATTCTAGTAAAGTGTCTATCTTGTCTACATTCTTAAATTTACTGGTTTAAAGCTATTTATAGGATTATTTCTTTTTCTTTAAACTGTGCTTCTATTTTTTTTTTTTTTTTTCTGGTACATGCCCCTAGTGGAAACCGAACCCAGGACTCTCTGGTCCCCAGTCCAACACTCCAACTGCTGAGCCAAACCGGCCCAGGCTAAACTCTGCTTCTATACAGATGCTTCTCACAGCCCTTCCCCAAGGCTGCTTATAGGAGGATCCCACTGCACTGGATCCATCTACCACAGTCTTGTAGGTGCTTTGGGGTCTGCTACTCTTCTCTATAGTTCCTTTGTTCTCTATGGAATTAACTTCTGCCCTTTGTTGTTTCCTTCTTTCTAACTTCCCGGTTTCTCTGGAGTTCTTAATTACTGAGTTAGATCTTTGGCTCATTAATTTCTGCCCTTTGTTCTTTTTTCCCCCCAATCCTCACCAGAGGATATTTTTTCCATTAATTTTTAGAGAGTGGAAGGGAGGAAGAAGGGAGGGAGAAGGAGGGGGAGAGAGAGAGAGAGAGAGAGAGAGAGACAGACAGACATCGATGTGAAAGAGACACATCGATTGGTTGCCTCCTGCACGAGCCTAACTGGGACCAAGGATTGAACCTGCAACCCAAGTACGAGTACTTGACCAGGAATGGAACCCAAAGCTCTCTGGTCCAAGAGCCGAAACTCTACCCACTGAGAAACAGCAGCCAGGGCTGCCCTTTGTTCTTTTATAGTGTGAGATGCAGTCTTTACATTCTCTTCTCTGTACTGCTTTGCTGCATCCCACCAATTCTAATATGAAGTAGTATTTCTTTTTTTTTATCCTCACCCGAGGACATTTTTCCATTTTTTGTTCAGATAGAGTGGGAGGGGGAGAGAGAGAGAGAAACATCAATGTGAAAGGGGCACATCAACCCGCACGACCCAACCAGGGCTGGGGACAAACTGCAACCGAAGTACATGCCCTTAGCAGGAAATGAACCCAGGTCTCTCTGGACCGCAGGCACACGCTCTAACCGCTGAGCCAAACCGGCCAGGGCTATGCAGTAGTATTTCAATTATCATTCAGTTCTATATATTTTCTTTTTTTTAAATTTATTTTATTTTTTTATTTTTTATTTTATTTTTTTCCTCACCCGAGGACATTTTTCCATTTTTTGTTCAGATAGAGTGGGAGGGAGAGAGAGAGAGAAACATCGATGTGAAAGGGACACATCGAGTGGCTGCCACCCGCACCACTGACCAGGGCCGGGGACAAACTGCAACCGAGGTACGCGCCCTTAGCGGGAACTGAACCCGGGTCTCTCAGGACCGCAGGTCGACGCTCTAACCGCTGAGCCAAACCGGCCAGGGCCAGTTCTATATATTTTCTAGTTTCCATTTCATCTTTGACCCAGGAGTCATTTAATACTTTTTTCGCCTATTTTGTAGATTGGATTGTTTGAGCCTGGCATATAGGAAGCATTTAATAATGTTGCTATTATTATTATTGTTAGAGTCTAGCTCTCTGCCTGTTTACCTGGAACTAGGAGGCAACACAGGTCCTGCCTTGAATTCCAAAGTGCACAGAGAAGAGCTGAGGAATGCTTTGTGCCCTCTGCCAGGTCTAAAAAATTGTGGTATAATAAATTCACAAGGGCCCAATGCAACTCAACACCATGAAACCCTGACCCAGTAAGAGCCCTCCTAGGAATGTAACCTAAAGCAATAATCAGACAGAAAGAAAAACACACATACATTCAGATAAACATTCATACATTCAGATAAACACTAATTATTATGTTAATTACCCTTCAAGAGGAAACAACCTAAATATCACCATAATAACTGGTTTTACCTATTGCTACAATTTTTGTAATTACTATTATTATTATTAAAAATTTTTTTTTCTTTATTAATTTTTTAGAGAGAGGAAGGGGGAGGGAGAGAGACAGAAACATTGATGAGAGAGAACATCGATTGGCCGCCTCCTGGGAATTGGGCCCACAACCTGGGCATGTGCCCTGACCAGGAATTGAGCTGATGACCTCTTGGTGCATGGGTCGATGCTCAACTACTGAGCAACACTGGCCGGGCATATTTTTGTTCTTCTTATCATTCAAGAAGACCTTTCAACATTACATATAATATTGGTTTGGTGGCTTTTTCTTATCTGGGAAACTCTTTATATGGCCATCGATTCTAAATGATTGCTTTGCAGAACAGAGTAATCTTGGTTGTAGGTCGTTGCTTTTCATCACTTTGAATATCTCTTGCCATACTTTCTGGCCTGCAAAGTTTCTTTTGAGAAATCAGGTGACAGTCTTATGGGAGCTCCATTGTAGGAAACTGACAACTTTTCTCATGCTACTTTTAAGATTCTCTCTTTGTCTTTAACCTTTGGCATTTTGATGATGATGTGTCCTGATATGGACCTCTTTGGGTTCATCTTGTTTAAAACTCTCTGTGCTTCCTGGACTTATATGTCTGTTTCCTTCACCAAGTTAGGGAAGTTTACTGTCATTATTTTTTCAAATAGGTTCTCAATTTCTTGCTCTCTCTCTTTTCCTTCTGGCACTCCCATGATGCAAATGTTGGCATGCCTGAAGTTGTACCAGAGACTCTTTACACTATCCTCATTTTTTTGGATTCTTTTTGCTGTGTTGATTGGGTGTTTTCTGCTTCCTTATATTCCAAATTGGTGGTTTGCTTTTTTGGCTTCACCTACTCTACTACTGATTCCCTGTAAATTATTCTTTATTTCAGTTAGTGCATCCATCATTTCTGACTGGTCCTTTTTCATGTTGTTGATGGTCGCACTAGGTTCCTTGGAATTCTTCTTAAGTTCATTGAGCATTCTTATAACCAGTGTGTTGAACTCTGCATCTGATTAATTGTTTATCTTCATTTTGTTTAGTTCTTTTCCTGGAGTTTTGTTCTGTTCTTTCATTTGGGACATGTTTGTCTCCTCATTTTGGCTGCTTCCCTGTGTTTGTTTCTATGTATAAGGTAGAGTTGCTATGTCTCCTAGGCTTAGTAGGATGGCCTATTGTAAAATGTGTCCTGTAGGGTCTCATGGCACAGCCTCCCTAATCACCCCATCTGGGCCCTCGAGGTTAACCCATGGTGTGGACTGTACACCCTTCTGTTGTAATGCAGCCTGGATTGCTGTTGGCACATCAATGGGAAGGATTTATTTATTTATTTATTTATTTTATTTTATTTTATTATTTTTTATCCTCACCTGAGGACATTTTTCCATTTTTTACTCAGATAGAGCGGGAAGGAGAGAGAGGAAGAGAAACATCGATGTGAAAGGGACACATCGAGTGGCTGCCACCCACATAACCCAACCAGGGCCGGGGACAAACTGCAGCCAAGGTACATGCCCTTAGCGGGAACCAAACCCGGGTCTCTGTGGACCGCTGGCTGACGTTCTAACCGCTGAGCCAAACCGGCCAGGGCAATGGGAGAGATTTACTCAGGCTAATCAGTTGGAAGAACTGGCTGTGCCCACTGACCACTGGCCTCTGACTACCTTGGAGGATCAGCTGTGTAGGGGCCCATCACACAGAATAAGACTTACTTCAGCAGGGCTCTGGTACCCTCTGAGTCCACTCATTGAATATGTCACTTGTGGAGGTGGTTGGGTGGTGGTGCTGCAGACCACTGGGTGTGCTGGCTCTGGGACAAGGTAAGCCACTGGCTATGTTCTATCCAGGGCCACCAGGCATAAGCTAGAAAGTGATCTGCCAATGGCTGCCTCTTGTGCTGGGCTTGGAGGTGCCCAGGAAAAGCTAAGTTGTGAACCAAGGCTGGCTACTTCTAGCGTCAGGCCTGGGGCCACATAATGAGAGGTATGGGGCTCGTTGAGACCAGATGCTGCTTGTTTGAGAGATTTTAGGAAAATCTGAAGCAGGATCCAAGACAGGTCAATCCTATGGTAAAGCCCTTGGAAACAGCTTGGGTAGGCCCAAAAGTTAGGTGGGTCAGGGCCTCAGGGAATCAGCAGGGCCGGGCAAACAGTGTGAGCCAGGTTGCTGGAGTCACAGATATGGTGGCCATCTGATGCCCAAAGGAAGGGCTCACTAAAGAAACAATGGCCTCCCACAACAAGTTTGTCCAGGAGAATGCTGCCTCTCCAGCTCTCGCCCTGATGCCAAACAACTCAGTTCTTCCCCTTATGTCTCTGGTGCCTTTCAAGCTGCCTCCATAACGCTGGGACCTAGAAGGAGTGAGTCCGAGTAAGTTCAAGTGCGGGTCCTTTAAGAGGAGCTGTCTGGGGCTCCTGCAGCCTCAGCCTCAGTTCCTGCTGGTTTTTACAGCCAGAAGTGATGAGGACTTCTCTTCCTGGCACTGGAACCCTGAGCTGGGAGGCCTAGTGTGGGACAGGGACCCCTCGCTCCTCAGGGAATACCTTCACAGCCGCGGTGTCCCTCCTGATTTTTATCTTCCACACAGGGGTGTGGGACCAGCCTAATCCATGCCTCTGCCCCTCCTACCAGTCTTGATATGGCTCTTCTTTAATTTTGTAGTTGTAGGACTTCCATTCAGCTCAATGTCAGGTGATTTTGAATGTTGTTCTATAGTTTAGTTATAATTTTGATGTGATTGTGGGAGGAAGCAAGTACTGCATTTACCTACGCCGCCATCTTGACCAGAAGTCTCCATAATTATTACTTTGATAGCTGTACAATGTTATAATACATACACCACCTGTGCCTTACCCAGTGCCTGAATATAAGTGCTCAGCAAAAGACTCACATAGAAAGGGCCCCGTAATTGCTCTGGTCTCGGGTTTCATAGCTCTTGTTCTGCAAAGGAGAGTGTGGCTTCTCCCCGGACCATGGGTCTGGGGGGCACTGTTTCAGTCTTTTTGCTGACAGTGTTGCAGGGACATCCTGACACGTACGCCATTCTGCATGTATGAATGAATACACTGCAGGGTCAACTCCAAGGAATGGAATTGCTGGGTCAAGGGTCTGTGCATTTCTTTTTTTTTTTTGTATCCTCATCTGAGGACATTTTTCCATTTTTTGTTCAGGTAGAGTGGGAGGGAGAGAGAGGAAGAGAGAGAGAGAAACATCAATGTGAAAGGAACACATCAAGTGGCTGCCACCCGCACGACCGACCAGGGCCGGGGACAAACTGCAACGGAGGTATGTGCCCTTAGCGGGAACTGAACCCGGGTCTCTCTGGACTGCAGGCCAACGCTCTAACCGCTGAGCCAAACCGGCCAGGGCGGGGGTCTGTGCATTTCTAAGTCATGTTAGTTTTAAAACAGAAACATGCCTCCAACTATCCTATCACTTACAGCTTCTTCCTCTGCCAGCCAAGTTGTGGGCAGGCAGCTATGGATCTGTATACTTGCTCTTAGGCCCACTTCAGGGAATGGAAACTGCCAACTTAGTCAGATTCCAGTGGCTGGCCAGGAGAAGGTGGGCATGCATGGGCAATAGGCTCAATGGCTCCTTTCAACACAAATAGAATGGCAGTGGACACTTCATTTCCACCTCTGTAAACTGGGGATCAGACTGACATTGTGTTGTTTAAAGATGAAGTAAGCTGGCATACAAGAACACTGCCAGAACAGAGAAGGGAAAAGTGAACCTTACATGTATCTTGCCCTTGACAAAAGTGGTGATATCTTCCTCATTGTCGAAGATGGACAGTGTCTGAAGTAAGTTGTTCTCCAGCCATTCCCAGTGTTTTGTTATCTCTTTGCGGGTAGAACCTAGGGGAGGTTTGGTGGATAAAGAAGAGGGAAATCATATAATCATCAGGCCTTAAATGAGAACTCAGAGAAAAGAGATGACCTGAATGAAGTGCTATATCTAAGTGACTATAATCTTCTAGCTGTTTATTCTTTTCCTCTTTAAGCTTTACATATATGTATATAACAAAAGTCACAAGTGGTCCTGGTAAAAATAAAAAGAAGAAATTCAGCCCTGGCTGGTTTGGCTCAGTGGTTAGAGCCTGTGGACCAAAGTCTTGGGTTTGATCCCAGTCAAGGGCACATACCTTGGTTGAGGTTAGGTCCCCGGCCCTGGTCGGGGTCATGCGGGAGGGGAGGCAACCAGTAGATGTGTCTCTCTTACGTTGATGTTTCTCTATCTCTCTCCCGCCCTCCCTCCCTCCTTCCTACTCTATCTGAAGATAAATGGGAAAATATCCTCCGGTGAAGATTAAAAAAAAAAAAAAAAAAATCAGGCACAATTGCAGAGTCACATGGAAAATAAAGCCTCCATTTCTCCTAATGCTAAGTAAGAATGACCACTAGTGTCTTATATATCCTCCCAGAAATGGTCTATACATCTACAGATTTGCTCAATTATGAAGACTGTTCTTTGAGATAAAAGAGCTTAATTGGCCTTTGATATATAGATGACTAATTTATACCAGATACAGTCAGTCTTGGTATAAATGACTGCAGCCCTCCCGAGAAGTCAGGAGTTTACAGATGGCAGCTGGAGCTTTTGGCAAGACTTCTCACCCCAGCCAACCAGTCTCCTGCTGGGCAAGGCAGGCCAAACCTGCAATTCCCATCATCTCTGAGGTCAGGTACACCCAACTACTCCTTCCTTTTCCAGCTCACGTCCCAGCCCTGATCTTGCTTCCTTTAGGAACCCATCTGAGTCCTTTAGTTTCTAGCTGGCCCGAAGTGTCTGCCTTGCCTAGGAGGTGGTCCTTGTCCTCTTTGGGGAGGAACCCTGGTGGGCACTGCAGGCCCAGTACAAATGGAAAAACTGATAGAAGGCAGATTAGTGCCATTCCCAAAGGGTGGGGCAGCTGCTCTCTCTGTTCCCATTAGGGAACTGGGAAAAGGGGCCCCAGGAGAAGTGAAAGGATGAAGGTCCCTGCCCCTCAGTATGTACCAGGCATGGAGCTTGGACTCAAGAACTGTGTTCTGAGTGAATGAATACAAGAATAAGAAGAGGAGTGGAGGCCTCTGTCCTCTCAGCTGTCCTGGGGTGGGACAGTATATGGATCATGAATGCCCAGATGGCTCAGATGATCTCGTGACCCTGGGAAGGTCCACACACATGGCATGGAGGAGCCTTTGCAAAGCCAGAGTTCAGCATGGCTGTGGACCACAGACATGCGACTGGGTGCCTGGAAACCAGCTGAAAACTCAGCCCTTACCGTGCCCCACCCCACCTGAATTGGTCCCCACCATCTCCCTGCCCAGGCACCTGCTCAATGCTGTCATGTGTCACAGCCCAGCTGTTTTGGTAGGGGTTGATCTGTTTGTTTCTTTACATTTACCCCAGCAACTTAGCTCCTAACAAGGAATTCCAAGGAGGATTCTCTCCATTGGCCTGTTGTGTGGATGCCCGTGTGAAAACAATTAAATCCAGGCTTAGACAACTTACAGTCACAACAGGCAAGCAAAATTACCCTGGATCATCCATAATTACCCTGGATCATTACCATTCTTTTTTATAATTTTTCTTTAAATTTCTATTATGGCCTTCTTTTGCTGGTGCATGGAGGCCAAGGTCTAGTTGGTAGGGGAAGGGATTTCTCTCTCTTGCCAAGACCGACATTTGAATTTGGAAGTTAGATCTGCACATGATGCAACTCTACTGTATCATTTACTTTTATACACATTCCTGGCAGCCTAAAACCGAACAAATCTTGTCTACACTGTCTATGTGGATCTGTCTGCACTTCAGTCATAAATATTTACATATGTGCACTTACAACAATTATTAAAAGTAACTCAATCTTCATCTAGTACAAGTAAACATAAACTATGCCACCTCTATGCTTGGTGCTGGGAGTAAAAGGAATATAAAAACTAATTAAATTAGTCAATATTACTTGTTTTCAGAACATTTTGTGGATTATCTTATTTAATTCTTAGAGAACCTTGGAGACAGGTACCATTATTTTCATTTTATAGGATGAAGCTGAGACACAGAGGGGTTAAGTAAGTTGCCCAAGGTCACGCAGCTGGACCATAATCCCAACCCAGGCTGCCCAGCTGCAGAACCTCCCTATGGAAAGGCTGCTCTCACTGCCACTGTCCCTTCCCCGTCTGCTCCCCAAGGAAGAACACCATTGAGATAGACATGAAAATCCTGAGGGTCCATTGAAAGTAAAGTATCTTCCTGTAGTCCAGGCACACACCAATCTAGCTGCCCTGGTCAGGGACAATTCTCACCCCACAGGAAGTCACTCTCTCCTGCGGGCAAACCAGTCCCCCAGTGCACCACTCAGGCACTGGAACCAGGAGAGCAGGGCTCCTACTGGCCATCCAACTTGGCCTTATGCAAACTCAGCTTCTTAAGCTTTCCTTTATTTAGTCACACAAAGGGGAAGGACACCTCTGTTCAGGTACCTGGGAGGAAGAAACCATCTAGCCTGGCGTTCAGGATAGGGCCCGCCTGGCAAAAGGGAGACTGTGCCAGCCTTCAGCACCGACCTCTCCTCTCCTCTCCTGAAGCTGGGGTCCAGCTGTGAGCACTCTTGTTATCTTTTCTAAGGGCTCTAAGGAAAACCATTATCCTGGGGGACAGTGACACTGTGACTTCCAGCACACAGAAATAGGTTTTCAGCACAGGGACATGAGCAGATGTGTCTGAACTACAGTCTGTGTGACCTTTGGCAAGTCACTCAACCCCTCTGGACTAGTTTCCTCTTCTTCAAAATAGGGAAAACCAAAGTTTCGCCTTCTGGAGTTGTTTGGAGGTTCATATAAGTGCCTAGCCTATAGTCAGCACTGTCTGAATGCTATCACTGCATTTTATCTGAGCAACCTCAGCCAGGTGCTCAATGGAAGGGGACTTTCTCCCAGACTTTAAGAAGGTAGGTGTGTGTCCTTCTAGGGCAATGCTTTTCAACCTTTTTCATTTCATGGCACACATAAACTAATTACTAAAATTCTGTGGCACACCAAAAAAAAAAAAAGTTGTATTTTTTTGCTGATCTGACAAAAAAAATGTATAATTTTGATTCATTCACACTGTACAGCTATTGTGTTGGCTGTTGTCATTTTTTGTTTGTTTGACAAATCTAAGGGAAAAGAGGCCAGTGTCCATGACTAAATATCAGGTAATGCATGTTTTAAAAATTCTTGCAACACTTCAATTGAAAATCGCTGTTCTAGCCCCGGCTGGTTTGGCTCAGCAGTTAGAGCATCATCCCATGCACCAAAAAGTCATGGGGTCAATTCCGGTCAAGGGCACATACCTTGGTTGTGGTTTGGTTCCCAGCTCTGGTCAAGGTCATTCGGGAGGCACAATCAATGTTTCTCTCTCTCTCTCTCTCTCTCTCTCTCTCTCTCTCTCTCTCTCGTTTTCCCTCCCATACTATCTGAAGATAAATGGAAAAGTATCCTCAGGTGAGGATTAAAAAAAAAAAAAAGGGAAAATCAATGTTCTAAGGAGACAGCTGCAGGCGATTCTTGTTATTTACAGTAATAAATAACATACAGTCTCCTACAACACTGAATTAGCCAAGACTGCTCCCAGGGATCTACAAGGCTAAGTTCTTTGGAGCCTCTGGTCACATTTTCATCAACTGATCAACACATAACTTTGTTTTATGTGTCTTTTTGTTTAAAGGCACCTTATTTAATATATGTTGTTAATTCCCTAACACTGAACTCCTGGCCAGCACAATGCAATTTAGGCCCGAAGGAAGCTCCTTTAACATGCATACTGGCTCCCTACGGCACCCCACCGCTTCTCGCCCTTGGGAACAGCACACAGCACTTCATCTCTACACTTAAGGGTCATTTAAACTACAAATTACCAAGGGAAAAACATGGTATTTTAGACTGCAAAAAGGACACTTGCTTATGGTTTGAGAGCTGACACAAGAAAGCAGAAGGGTGCCTTGTTCTACCTCAGCTGGAACCTGTGTTGGGTGACTCAAATTTTTTGCTGCTCTGCATGTATGCATCCCCATGAATGCCACAAATGACTCAGAGTACTGCCAGCCCTGTGACCAACGGAGCTGCCTTCCTAAGCAGGACACTGGCCCAGGCTATGCTGGCTGAGTGAGGGGCAGTGCTGGATTCCAAGGGGGCAATACCCAGCCCAAGAACCAGGCTGCGGCCCCCTCCTCCTAGCCCCTCTCAGGTCAGGCCCTGCCCTGCACCTACCGCATGCCACTGTCCAGTAGACCTGCGAGTCCTGGGTCTGGTGCAGGATTCGATAAGGGGCCACTCGGGCGCTGGAGTCCAATACCACATCTAAGGTGCCCACAAGGAGACCTGGGAGCAGGGAGAGAGATGGAGAGTGAGGCACTAAGAGCTGAGCCTGGCAGCCAGGACAGGGCCCTGAGAAAGAAACAACCTATAGCACATAACCTCTTCTATCGGATGACTTCTTTTTCCTCATGTCTGATCCCTACCAAAAAATCACCTTCCACTTCTTCCTGGAAGCTGCTGTTTATCTTCCTGTTACAGAAACACCTTCAGGCAGGGGCAGAACCAGCCCCCCTCCCCCACCTGAATCACATTATTTATTGTATACAGACCCAATGATGCCCCATCAAATAAAACCACACGGCTTTGAGGTCCTGGGTCTAGGAGCTCAGGTTGATGGGAGGTAGTATCCGAATACAGGTTTTATGAAGCCCAAAGCTTAAACAATTTGGGAAGCCCTCTTAAAGAAAACAACAAAATCAGTTTTGTAAACAAATATTTCTTTAGAATAAAATAGTACAACATTTAAAAGTTAAAAACAAAATACCACAAAATCCAGAAAAATTATACAATGTGTTTTATTAATTTCCAGACATCACTTAAGATACATTCCCACCCCCACCTCCAGCATTTTTGGTGTACTCTGATGGTTTTTTTCATAAGATAATGACTTTGTCACATCATTTTCGAAATCCACAACAGGAAGATAACATAGTCTTTTCTCTGCCACAGGATCATTTTTATTATGAAAAGTTTAAGGAAGTTCTTTGCAGCATTGAAAGTCATGACTGAAAAGGACATGCAAATTTTTAGAAGTATCCAAATTGGGAAAACTTTATCTAGTTTTTTTCATCCCTAAACTGAAGTATTTTAGGGCATTTTAAAATTTCTTTCTCATCACAATATACCCTTTGTCAATGTCACTATTTCCCCCAACAAATCAGAGGAAAAGTCTACCTTGACTCATTCCTCTTCATTAATTGAATTATCAAGCTATCTAAAAACGTGTTCAGGACTTCCGGTCAAGATGGCGGCGTATGTAAACGCAGTAGCGGTATCGCGTCCTCCCACAACCACATCCAAGTTACAACAAAACTACAGAACAACCACCATTCAAAACTGCCTGAAATCAAGCTGAATGGAAGTCCAACAACTACGGAATTAAAGAAGCTGCATCGAGACTGGTAGGAGGGGCGGCGGCTGCACAACGGGCTGGTCCCACACCCACGTGTGGCGGATAAAAATCAGGAGGATACCTCGGCTGGGAAGGTCCTTCCTGAGGACTGAGGGGTCCCCGTCCCACACCAGGTGCCCTGCTCAGGGTTCCAGTACCAGGAAGAGAATCCCCATAAATTCTGGCTGGAAAAACCAGCAGGAACTGAGGCTCAGGGAAGCTGACGTGGCTGGAGCCCCAGGCAGCTCCCTAAAGGGCCCGCGCACGGACTTATCAGACTCTCTCCCTCTAAGCTTGGAGGGGAGGCAGCTCGAGGAGAACCAGAGACATACAGAGAAGAGCTGTTTGGCACTGGAGCGAGGGCTGGAGAGGGGGCTTTCTCCGGGACAAACTGCTGTCAGAGGCCTTTGTTCCTTTGGTGAGCCCTTCCCTGGGGCGGCAGACAGCCGCCATATCTGGGACTCCAGCAACCTGGTTCACACTGGTAGCCCCGCCCTGCTGACTCCCTGAGACCCCACCCCACCCAACTTTCAGTCCCACCCAAGCTGTTGGCACTTGCTTAACCATAGGATTGGCCTGACTTGGATCCTGCTTCAGGTTTTCCTAAATTTTTTCAAGCGAGCAGCATCTGGTCTCAGCTAGCCCCATACCGCTCGTTAAGTAATACACAGAAACAAACACAGGGAGGCAGCCAAAATGGGGAGACAAAGAAACAGGTCCCAAATGAAAGAACAGAACAAAACCCCAAGAAAAGAACTAAGCGAAATGGAGATAAGCAACCTAACAGATGCTGAGTTCAAAATACTGCTTATAAGGATGCTCAATGAATTCAGTGAGGGCCTCAAGAGCATAAAAAAGGACCAGTCAGAAATGATCGATGCACAGTTAGAAACGAAGGAGGCTTTAACTGAAATAAAGAATAATTTACACAGCTTCAATAATAGAGTACGTAAATCCAAGGAGCAAACCATCGATTTGGAATATAAGGAAGCAAAAAACGCCCAATCAGAACAGCAAAAAGAAAAAAGAATCCAAAAAAATGAGGATAGTGTAAGGAGCCTCTGGGACAACCTCAAGCGTGCCAACATTCGCATCTTGGGGGTGCCGGAAGGAGAAGAGAGAGAACAAGAAATCGAAAACCTGTTTGAAACAATAATGGCAGAAAACTTTCCTAACTTGGTGAAGGAAACAGACATACAAGTCCAGGAAGCACAGAGAGTCCCAAACAAGATGAACCCCAGGAGGCCCACACCAAGACACATCATCATCAAAATGCAAAAGGTTCAAGACAAAGAGACAATCTTAAAAGCAGCAAGAGAAAGGCAGCTAGTTACCTACAAGGGAGTTCCCAAAAGGCTATCAGCTGATTTCTCAAAAGAAACTTTGCAGGCCAGAAGGGAGTGGCAAGAAATATTCAGAGTGATGAAAAGCAAGAACCGACAACCAAGATTACTCTATCCTGCAAAGCTGTCATTTAGAATCGATGGCCATATAAAGACTTTCCCAGACAAGAAAAAGTTAAAGGAGTTCATCACCACCAAACCATTATTATATGAAATGATGAAGGGTCTTTTTCAAGAAAAAGATAAAATATATGAACAAACAAAATGGCAATGAATACATATCTATTGACAATGGAATCTACAAACAAAATGAACAGGTAGAACAGAAACATTCTCATAGATACAGAGAACATTTTGTTGGTTGCCAGATGGGAGGGGGTTTGGGGGAATGGGTGAAAAAGGTGAAGGGATTAAGAAGTACAAACTGGTTACTAAACTGACAAACCTCAAAGGGAAAGGGGCTGGGGGGGGTGGGAAGAAATAAACCAAAGAACTTATATGCATAACCAATGGACACAGACAACAGTGTGGGAAAAGGCGGGAGGGAGGCGGGAGTGGGGAGGAGGGAGTCATTAGGGGGAAAAAATGTGGAACATCTGTAATACATTTAACAATAAAGATTTAAAAAAATAAATAAAAAAAATAAAAATAAAAACATGTTCATTGTTCCTATTTAAAATTTCCTTTTTCCTTTTTGCAAAAAGAAATCCTCACTGGAGGATATTTTTTCCATTGATTTTTAGAGAGAGTAGAGAGTGGGGGGAGAGAGAGATGTGAGAGAGACACATCGATTGGTGGCCTCCTGCACACACCCCAACTGGGGCCAGGGATCGAACCTGCAACCCAGGTATATGCTCTTGACTGGGAATAGAACATGTGATCCTTTGGTCCTCGGGCCCACCCTATAACCACTGAGCTAAACCAGCCAGTGCTTTATTTTATCCTTTTAGTGAAGTCTTACTTTTGATGTGATCTCAAAGTATTTTGTTACCATTTTCCTGTTGATGTCAGAATCATTTCTATTGATTTTATTACTCAAGTTAATACTTGTTTTATATCCATTTTAACCACTTTTTTCCTTCCAGTCTTTATTAAAATTACTGATTACAGCCCTGGCTGGTTTGGCTCAGTGGTAGAGCATCAGCCCATGGGCCAATGAGTTGTGTGTTTGATTCTGGCCAAGGGCACGTACCTCAGTTGCGGTTCATCCCCGACCCTGGCTGGGGTGGTGGGGGAGGCAACCAGTCGATATGTCCCTCTCACGTTGATGTTACTTTCTCTCTCCCTCTCACTCTAGCTGAAGATAAATAGAAAAAATATCCTCAGGTGAGGATTTTAAAAAAAATTACTCATTACAGAAGAAGGTACTCTCTACATACATCCCAGTCAGGTGTCTGTAATTTCTCACTTGTTTTATTGAAATGTTCTAAAATGCCTTTTTAATTGCAGTTAAAATAGCATATTCAAGTTTTACCAGTGTTTGGAATAAACTCTTTTTCATGATTTCTCTTCCGGTCTTGGAAATTCTATTTTCATCCTTATATTGTTGACAAGACCTGAAAGCTTTATAAGCTTTCCTCAGACTCTTCAATGAGGAATACAGGTTGGCAGCTGTTTATAAAAAACAGCTGAAATAAAACCACACCACTCACTGTTCATTTCCTAGGGAGACGCATTCAGGAAGCCATGTCTATGGTGGCACAGAGAAGGCCATGGCAGTACTCACAAAACCTAGCTAGAGTGGGGAGTTCAAGAAGTGGTTTCCTGGGGGAACATGGGGAGCTCTGTCTTGGGGGACATAAAGAAAGGAATGAGGTGGAAAGGGCTTTCTCTGGGCAGGAAGGTAGGCCACAGAGGGACCCATTTACTTGCTGAGATAATCTACAGTAACATAGAGCACAGAACAAGGTTTGAAGTACACTGGAGAACTGACACACTGGTGCAAACAAAAGGTACTGGGCATTTGCACCGAAATTTCCTATAGGGGCTTGCAGTAGCTCCCAAGGGTGACCACTGGTCAGCTTCTTCAGAGGGGCTGATGCCTCACCTCCACTGGTGAGGAGGCAGGTTCAGCACTGGCTCCCATGCTTCTCAGAGAGCCTGAGGCACTGAAGGGAACATAGTTTTCTTGGGAATGGTACAGTCTCTTTCACATTAGGAGGTGTGGCCCACATGAGGCTGGCAGCAGAGGTCTCCCATGGGAAGCCTCTGCATCTGGCAGGACTATATTAGCTACTAATGTTTAAAATCTGGACATTTCACAGAAAATTCTCTTGATAAATAAGAAGATCTGGCAACGTTGGGCACCCAGTCCTGTATGGCAACAACAGGGCACCTGAGGAGCACAGGCACTGGTCCAGCCTTGAGCTTGACACAGCTCTGCTCTGGCAGTGCCTGCACAAGCCCTGAAACATGAGGGGCCTCTGACACCTGCAGAGGTGGCTCAGCAGATATTCCTAGGGGGTGCCTGCCTGTCCAGCCTCATCCTGGGTGAGTGGAGATGCCCACATAGGTACAGAAACACCCTGCCTAGCTCACCAGAACAACCATACACTGGTCATTTGGCAAAGACTTGGTTTGTAGCTCCAATGGCGACAAGAATCAGGAAAGGAGGGCAGGAGAAGCTGGAGGGACGGGGCGGAGGCCAGCCTGCAGCTAGGGGAACCTCTGATCTTGCTAAAAGGTCAATTATTTGGTGAGCTGGGAATGAAGAAGGCAAAAGGAAAGATGTGCTGTATATCTTGGCCCCGTCAGAGGCCCTTGGGGAAACTGGGGAGAGGAAGAGGCCCGGGAGATCTTGCTGACTTTCAGCTGTGAAATCCCACTCCAGGAAGCTACACACACCTCGGCTGAGCACCGGGAAGCTCACCAGCACCAAGTGCGGGCAGAGGCCGCTGCCAGCCTTCCCAAGTTGACCGAAATCTCCCGACCTGCCTCCTAAGGCCAGCGCGTTGGTCTTCCTCCTGCCCTCGTCCCACCCCCGCCACGTCCTCCCCGCCACCCTTTGCTGGGGCCCTACAGCAAGCAACCCGGTTCTGTCCTCAACCCCCAAACCCAGCCCCTGCCTCTTGTCCCCGCCAGGCCCGGCCGCGCACCCTAGTACCACGACGCGCTGACGTGCGCGTCCGCGACAGCGAGTTGAGGCCCGGCCTGCCCGTGCAGGTCGTCCGGCCCCGCCACCGGCGCGCCCTTCCCGCCAGCGTGCTGCGTGCGTCTCACCCGTGAGGCCACCGCCCCTGCCGTGGCCCCGGCGCCGCTGCAGCACGAAGAAGGGGTTGGCCCGTTCTGTCACCCACAGCGCGTTGGCCACAAGCACCTCCTCTGGGCACAGCCACATCGTAGGGCCACTCGCACCGGGCCCGGCCCGCCAGGCGGAAGCGTCGCCGCCGTCGCGCGATGGGACCGAGCGGGAGGGCGGAGCAGGCGGCGCCCCCTAGCGGGCGGCCCGACTGCAGGACGCCGGCGCCCAGCTCTCCCGGCTCTTGGTGTCCATGTAAGCCACGCCCCACAAGGCCCCGCCCACGCAGGGCACTTGTCCCCGCCCGCCTGCTCCCGAGTGTAAGGCTCCCCCTTCGCCCCAGGCCTCAACGAGGAGCGGTCCAGCCCTGCGGTCACTGGCTCTGCCCGGAGTGGACGAGCCCACAGACCAAGAGGAAGTGGTTGTGCAGAGAGCAGAGACCCTGACGTTTTGTGAAAACATGTCCAGGGTTTGGGGTAAAGTGTAAAGAAATAGTGTTTGGAGGTACACTTTTGGCTGATTGGCCAGTGCGATCATTGGACGTTAACATTGCAAAGGGCGGTTAGACAATTGTAATAACTCCCTAAATGTTGACACTCGGACCCCAGGAGCCGAGGACAGGTTTTCAGGAAGCCCCGAGGCTGGCAGGATCCTCAAATATCAGTGCAGTACACTAAAGCTGGGTGACCCTGGGGCCTGCGGAGGTTTCTGCATAGGCGTGGGCGGGCAGCACACCACACTGGGATGCGGGTCGCTGCTCTTCCACTGCTGGCCTATAGGAGTTGAACCCCTTACAGCCAGAACACTGGCAGGGGAAGAGGCGAGTAGTATATGCAGAACGTCTCGGTCCAATTGGGGTGCATGATTACTCTGCTGGCCAGAGCCTGCCAGGGTCCGGGAGGAGGGCAGAGGGAAGGGGTGCTTTAGAATCACCCTGGGAGGCTTAAGCTAGTTTCGAATTGGGTTTCTGTCACTGGCATTAAATAATCCAATATGATAGATGTCGATATAAACAGGTGGTTTCATGGTTGACAGAGTAATCAAAAGACTTCTGAAATGTTAATTAAGACTCTGAGTCAACTTTCAAGATGTAGAGGCTGGTTTTCTTTAAACCTTGGAAGCTTACATTGATAACATGTCCTTGTGATCTCAAGAATTTGGAAATGATTGTTAACACCCAGAAAGGAGGTGCGGGTTATTGGTTTGTTCATTCTGTTCTCAAACTTGAGCTGCATCAGAATCACCTGCAGTGCTTGTTAAACTACAGATAGCTGGGCCCCACCTCAGAATATTTGTATTTCTACCAAGTCCTGATGTGATGTTGATGCTGCTGACCTGGCGACTACCTTTTGAGAACAAATATTTATTGAGCACTTAGGCCTACTTCATTTTCCTCTATTTTCTAAGATATAATTCACATTCCATAAAATTCACCCTTTTAAATTGCACAATTCAGTGACTATTAGTATATTCACAAAGTTGCACCACCATTACCACTATCTAATCCAGAACATTTTCATCAGTTCCAAAGAGAAACCCCTTACCTGTTAGCAGTCACTCCCCATTCCTCAATCCCCTCCACTCCTGGCAACCACTAACCTATTTCTATCCCTATAGATTTGTCCATTCTGGACATTAGATAAAATCATACAGTATATGACTTTTGTGTCTGGCTTCATTTAGTTACTATAACCTGTTTATGGTTCATTCATGCCATAGCATTGTGTCAGTGTTTCATTTTGTTTTATGGCTGAGTAATAGTCTATTGTATGGATAGGCCACATTTTGTTGATAAGTTCATCAGTTGGTGGACATTTATGTTGTTTCCCCTTTTGAGCTGTTGTGAATAATCATGCTATAAATTGCTGTATACAAGTTTTTGTGTGTACATGTTTTCAGTTCTCTTAGGCAGGTTCCTAGAAGTGGAATTGTTCAGTCATATGGTAAGGTCATGTTTACCTTTTTGAGGAACCACCAAGCTGTTCTTACAAAGCAGCCGCACCATTTTCACATTGGCACCAGTGATGTGTGAGGGTTGCGGTTTCTCTGCATCTCCTCAACATTTGTTATTGTCTCTCTTGTTATAGCCATCCTAATAGGTGTGAAGTGGCACCTCATGTCGTTTGAATTTGCAGTTTCCTAATGACTTACAATATGAAGCATCTTTTCATGTACTTGATGGTCATTTGTTTTTTCTTTGGAGAAATGTCTGTTCACATCCTTTGTCCATTTTAAATTGGGTTGTCTTTTTATTGTTGAGTTGTAAGTTATTTATGTATCTGGGATACTAGATTTCTTACATTATTTTAAATCTAATCCTCACACGATAACCCTATAAGGTAGATATTTTATGGTCCCTATTTGAGAGATAAACCTAAAATCCAGACAGGTGAAATGATCTGCCAAATTCATAATAGTAAGTGGCAGAGGTGGTACTCATGTGCAGACCTTTCTGGCTCCAACTCTTTTATACTTATATGGGACATCTGGGTCTTTGTTGCAGCATCCACTTCTTCCTATGCAGCATTTTTATTTTGCTGTGGGGACCACACCTTTTAACTCTCTGAACCTGTCTTTCAGGTGAAGATGAATGCTCTCCTGGGTGGCAGAAGTAGAACCCATGCTGACCTTGGCTATTGGCATATTCTACCTCTGTGACGACAGTGGCCAGTTTGGTGATGGTTATGTCCTCCCAGCAAACCAGTCAAGGTTAAGGAAATGCCACTCTGCCTGGGTTACCTCTTAGGGAATTATATCATCTCTAATGCTCATGAGGCTACCACTACCCTGAGCCTGAAACTGAAGTTTACCTGGAGGAAGCAAAGCTAGCAATGTGCCCTGGTATCAGTATTTGAGGACCAACCAATGCCATATCCCTGAAACAAACATACCCTGGCATTTTACCTTTTGTGAGATACTCACTGCATTCTCCTTTTGCTTAAGCCAGTTTTAGTTTAGATTTCTGTAAGAGTCCTCACTAATACAAGTTACCACCAACAGTATTCCATGTGGCAAAGCAGCTTTTTCAATAGGTTTTTATTTAAATTATTATATTAGTAAATCCTACATACAGGTATACACTATTGGCATATCGGTATATACCATATAATTTCACTACTTAATTATACTTACATCAACCATATGGACCTAAGAGTTGTGCTGCTCAGAACATTTTAAAGGGCTTATAAGATCTGAGTGCCAAGAAATCAGCTCATAGTCTACTTGCAGGTGTGTGTGTTCTAGACAAGGTAACTCCTCCTAAGTGAGCACCCACAGTAAGCTAATGATCAATTTTGCTTCTTGGATCTCTGATGTGTGTTCTTTCTGGCACAAGCTAGCCAATGGTGGATTAAAATTCAGGTGCATAGTTTCCCTCATCACTCAAGGTGGAAGCTAAGCCATTTGCTACATTTAGGTGTTGTAGTTAGAAAAATAGTTTATATGCCATCCTCTGAGATGTTGTGCATAGTTAGCAGGAACCCAGAGTAAGAGAGGCTCTTTGACCCAAATATGGGCAACTTTAATATTTGATGAGTACAAAAGCTACTGAGGGTCAAAAACAACTGTGACATATATGGCCTATGGTTTGGACCAACTCCTTCTCTTGTACAGGAACAGGATTGTTCTATTAAGGGATGATTGTTCTATTTAGGGATGGACCCTAAATAGCATTTCCTAGCTTGTAGTCCTTTCCTGTTTCTGTAATCAAACTGATCAAGTTTCCTTAGAGCCACTACCACTTGGGAGCAGACCCTACTTCCCATTCCCAGCTTGACACTAGAATCTGGTCCTAAGTACTGGCCTAGGGCACCACTCCTCCAGCTTGGTTAGCAGCCAGGCCTGGCACTATGAATGGACATAGTACCCTCTCTGCTTCTCTCCAGGATGGCATGTGACATCTCAGGCTGGGCACCCAGGAAAGGAGTTGGGACCCTGGCACTGGTCACACCTGGTAACCTGGTCCCCATGACATTTTAGCAATCACTAGGTAGTTAGCATTTCTGCTTGGGAGCAACTTACTCATCTGAGGGAAAGAAATGACCTGGATGTTACAGTCTGCCTACCCCACCCCACTTCTTGTTTTGACAAACATCTCGGTTCAGTACTTTCCAGTCATTAGAAAAGTCCTTTAATGTCACATAGTGTAAATACACTTGGACTTAGATGTGGATGAAGGATAATTCTGAAAGCAAATAAGAGTTTACTTTGTGTTGGGTTAAATTTGTAAAAATAGTTCAGAACAGTCATCTGTAATTTTCAATAGTTGCCAGTAGCTGTAGAACTTTCTGGAGAGAAAGGGTGATCACTTCTGGGGGGCGTCAGGAGCCTGTCAGGCTCACCCAATGACTGGCACCCCCAAGTGGACCATAGTGGACTGGTGAAAATTGAACTGTTTCAGTCCAGCATTAAACAGACTGAGGCCCTGGTTGGTTTGTCTCAGTGGTTAGAGCATCAGCCCATGGACCAAAGGGTCGCAAGTTTGATTCCTGGTCAAGGGTACATACCTGGGTTGCAGGTTCAATCCCCAGCCCTGGTCAAGGTGGCTGATTGATGTGTCTCTCTCACATCAATTTATCTCTCTCTCTCCCTCTATCCTTCTCACTGAAGGGTCCACCATAACTGAGAAAAGGGTACTCATGATATCCTCCAGCTCTCAGCTTTTCCACAGAAGGAGAATATGCGTGGTTTATGAAGGCGCTTCTTGCTAAGCTGGACCGCCACTCTGGGCTCGAGCACACATGCTCAACAGCTCCCTTGGCACCAGCAATGCTTTGCCAGGCCTGCTGCTTCTGAAAAAGTCAGTTCTTTCAAGTTGCCAAACTAGGCCTGTGCTACCCCAGACTCTCCATCTCTCAAGGTATAATCCTGTGGACGATTCCATGGGAGAAACAGGGAGAGCCCAACACAGAGGTCTGCGCACTACAGCAGTACTGAATCCTTCTGAAAGTTCACTACTCATGTTGCATGAAGTTTAAAGTGTTTGTTTTTTGTTTGTCATAAACTATCTTCCTTCTTCCCCAAGTCCAAGTGAACGGAAAAATGGCATGAGCTAGGGTGAACTTCGAGAAGGAAAACCCCAAATAAGACCCAGGTCACGA